GGTGCACCACGGGACTGGACCGCTTTTCTCAGGCTGTCACAGTACGTGCTTCTTGTACTTGAAAGACAAGACAAAGACAGTGACTCCCGTCGCAGCAAAGCGTTACTAGCGTGGACACGGCTGTTCCAGGGAGGCTGAAAGAATAAAGCCAAGCTCAGAAGTAAAAGAATCAATACCAATGAAAGGAAAGATATTCTATTGATACAACCATGCAGCTCAACAGCTTCGGATCAGGGTATCACCTTCCCTACCAGTGCAGCTATGCTAGAAAAAGTAATACAAGCTTTTGGTTAAATTCACCTGGATTGTCATTTGCTTTCTCTGTCAAGTATCCATCCTGTTTTCCTCAAACGATTGGATTATTTAAGCCTAATACTAGAATAACGCAAATAAATACGATTTGGACTCCAGAACCACAAACTGCTTCTCAGAGAGGCACTGGCTTGAAAGGGGAAATACGGAAAGAGAATCTTTCTGAACCACAGCACTGCCCTCTCACATGCTGCTGCCCTGTTTGCAACAGGATAATACATACATTTTTAATAAATTGGTAATGTTTAGCCTTAAGAGGCTAAAAATGCTTCAAAATATGAATGCCACTGTTGCAGTTAACTTTCTACCAAATTTTCAACTGTGCTTTTCTGTTAAAATTCTCTGCCTGATCGTTTTTCCATCCCCTAGAAAATATTAGTTTTTTCTGCTTTAGGAAGAATACACAATTTCAAAAGAATGTCTCATGTTTTAATTACTCTTCCAGTTCAGCACCTTCATAAAAACAACACCGTACCTATGCAGATGAGACCTTTTTAAATATTGATTGTGTGCATGCACTTTTATTACATAACTGCTTTCTGTCCCTGAGGCTGTAGTTCCTTATGAACACAGCAAACAGAATGAGCAGTGGGCAGCTCCTCTGTGTTAGTTTACTAACAGATGAGCATGTGACAAATGTAATGGAGAAAATCACGCTATGCCCATCACAGTGAGACAATCTGCTGTATTAACCTAAGAACAGTGATGCACTGTGAACCACATCCAGTCCTGTAAATACCAGACTGCAGACAGCTCTTAAAAACATCTGAACAGTTACGAGAAGCTTTTTTAGGGGTTTTTTTTTTCATTTCGTTTTGCTAAAAGAGCTCTAATTTAACCTCCATAGAGGATTAAATCATCACAGCGCCTGCCTCCATGCTACAAGCATAAAGTACACATAAACAAAAAGCCATCAGGAAAAAAAAATCAACCCTGCAAAATCACTTACATCAAATTAAATCGTATACATAGCATGTCATTCAGTATATTCACTTTTTTTTCAGTTTGATCAATTTTTTTCTGCCTGCAGTGTTTTTGCCAAAGTAACCCAACTCTAAGAGCACAGTGAGCACAACGACACGGCTGTGCAGCAACCCAACATTATTTGCAGTAGAATACAGTTCATTAAAAACCCGTAGAACCAACACTTACCATCACACCTGAGAAACAGATCCCTTCGAAATACCACACGTAGTTGGGAAGCTGGTAACTGGCAGCATGTGAAGCTTTCCCATTGGGGAAGTACAAGAGGATGTTAACAACGATGCTCCAAAGCGCGAGAGGTATCAGCAGACAACTCAGACAGCTTCCGCATGTCTCTAAAGCCATCTCTCCAGAACCTTAGACACTTTGCTGTTCTAAGCTAACAAAAGATTAGAAGGTTTTAAGTAGGAAAAGCGTTTTGACCTCCTCAGTTTGATTCAGTCATTTCCTATCCACAGGTTTGACTCCAGAGGCAGAGAAGTGCTCGACCCTCAGCAGAACAATGGGTGAGCATTGCTGTCTACACTCACCGTCCTTCCCCGGCATATGTCCCTAAGTAGCAGTTTCCCTTCTAAGAGATCCTCCTTTGTGATATTCCAGATGAAATATGTCTGGAAGTCAGACTCAGGAAGGAACTTCAGAAATCTCATTTCCTGGGGACTGCCCAGAGACGTGCTTGGTGCGGATATTCTCTGACTTGAGGCGGGCTGCTCAGCCTCACTGCAGTGCAGAATTTTTTCTACCTTACGTGGGGAAGGGGGCTGTCAAACGATAAATACATCCAGTCTCTGTACAGAGGGACACACATTAACTCACACTGCAGACAATTAACACCAGCGCTCGGCAGGCACAGCCCTACGGGGAGCCAGCGCTTGGGGCTGCCCCACAAAACTGCCACGCCGAGTCTCAGCCACCTTGCAGGTAGCACTGGCTACAAACTGCCAGGCAGACTTATTTTCACACTTTAATTACTCCTTTCTGCAGCATCATGCAGCTCAGCTGTTTTACGAATTAAATCCTGTTATTTCCCCAGTTGTTTTATTCTGTGCTTACAGCTGAGTGTGCAGAGCTGCAGACCTGACCGACGTACCCGTGACTTCCTGGACAGGACAAAAGCTCTGGCTGGTTTTTGAAACGCCAGTCGTTTTGCACTGTGCAAAGGCAAAGCCAGACAGTTTCCCCATTTTCATGTGTCATCATTCCCAAGGCAACGAAACCTCCATCCCAATGACACAGAGCCAGAGCTGTTCACAGAGTGCTCACAGCACAACTCAACTCTTCTTTCCATGCCCTGTGAGTCATCAGAAAAGTAATTTAAGAATGAGCTCAGGGTTTACCCACGAGGAAAGTCATAGTCAGAGAGCAAAAATATTGGGGCTCTCTCAAAAGTGAGAAGGCTGATTTTAGAACAATGATGTCATGGTGTATTTTCCTTCTGCTTACGCGCAATCTGTTTTAGGATCTGCACGAGGCTTCTCTCATGATCTCATAAAGGCTGTTTGGGCTGCATGTGGTAACTAATTCCTTCCTGTTGCTTTGCATCAAATCACCCAAGGAAGTGGGCACGGTGGTACTCATGCAATTACACCACTTCTCTACCCATTCTCTGCTGAGACTTTCCCTTGTTTTCCTCTCGCCTTCTTTTTCCAGGAGGTTTCATTGTGAAGTCCTCTGACTTTACTCTGAGGATCTTCCCCTATTTCCTGTTTTACTCCCTAATCACTATGGACACTTTTTTCAGGCTTCCCTCTAATTGCAATTAGTGGCAAACCTCCCTTTGCAGGCTCACAAGCACGGACAGAACTCCTATCATCAGCACTGTGCTGTACAGATCAAACAGCTCAATTAAAAGCCGGCACCTCACATCCCCAGGACTGATCTTTTTAATTACAAAACTCAGAGATCACATAATGGAATCACAGAGTGGTTTGGAAGGGATCTTAAAGCCCATCCAGTGCCACCCCCTGCCATGGGCAGGGACACCTCCCACCAGCCCAGGTTGCCCAAAGCCTCATCCAGCCTGGCCTTGAACCCCTCCAGGGATGGGGCATCCACAGCTTCCCTGGGCAGCCTGGGCCACTGCCTCACCACCCGCACAGGAAAACATTTCTTCCTCACATCTCATCTCCATCTCCCCTCTTCCAGCTTCAAACTGTTCCCCCTCGGCTTGTCCCAGCACCCCCTGATCCAGAGCCCCCCCATCTCTCCTGTAGCCCCCTTTCAGCACTGGGAGGTGCTGGAAGGTCTCCCCGGAGCCTTCTCTTCTCCAGGCTGCACACCCCCAACTCTCTCAGCCTGTCCTCGCACGGGAGCTGCTCCAGCCTCGGACCATCTCCGTGGCTCCTCTGGCCCCGCTCCAGCAGCTCCGTGTCTGTCCTGTGCTGAAATCTTTTTTTCTAAAAGCAAAGGTCAAAATCACTAGCGATCAGCTTACTCTACAATCAGATTTGCCGCTACAGTTGTCTGTTCTGATTAGAAGAAACGTACGTGGAAAATGACACCCGAGACAGCATTCGTTCTGCAGCACAGCGGTCTGCACCATGACTGACTATATTTAAAACGAGCTCTGCAAATACCAGCTCAAGGTGTGTTTTTTGCTGGTACACTATGCTGCTGGAACAAGAAGCAACCATCTTATGCCAAGTATTAAGCAAACCTGGCAACCAGTTTTTCAAATCTCTTACCAAGTGTTGCAAGAACTGCTTTCCTGTTGCTGCCAATATCCACGAGCTGATGCCGAGCCCATTACCGAAAAGCCGTGTTTACTCTGGATGAGTGACTTCTCTGCTAACTGAAATGGATTTAACCTAAACCAACCGCTTCTCCGCAACATAACTGATAAAACTCCAAAGGAATTCAACTGGCCTTTTTAAAACCACAACATAAACAGTGAGCAGTCATGCTGTGTGTTAGTGCTACATGGTCTGAGCTGAAATTTTAGTTCTAAGCTCTAGCCTAATCATTCTGTCCATCTGAATTTCTAAAATAGTGTCAGTTCCTTAGTTAGCTGTGTGCACCAGAGAGACAAGTAACAATTATGCAAGCATAAAGGCAAAAATCTATCCAGCTGCACAGGAATTATACCCTACCCCACCCAGACTCTTTTTTTCCTCCTCTCGCTCCACACTGAATTTAAATTTGCAGATCCTTTTTCAAACAGCACTTCTTCACACAAAAGACACCATCCTGCACAGCATTAAGGAATTTTGTGCAGGTATACACACATGCATGAGGAAATTCTCCTCACTCCCCTAGCAGAGCAAGAGAGGGACAAACACAACAAGCAGAAATGCTCTTAAAGACTGCCCTCGACTGCTTCGGTGTATTTATGTGTGAATAAATGGTGTTGCAAAAAGCAGATATCCCAAGATTCCAAACACAAACTCTTCCCATCTGTGAGTTCTTTTGCTGCTGGGGATGTGTGAGTGTGCAATTTTGTTTTCACTGTTAATTTCTTTTTTTCAGATATGCATTTGTACAGGGCAGACGTGTCTGTGAGGACAGCCCAAGGTGCACCTCACGTTTCTACCTTTAAAGACCACGCTCTTAGTTACAAGCAGTAGTAAGCACACACTGACACCAACAGGAAATTCTTTTTTTCCTATAAACAAACTTGCCTTTTTCAAAGATGATGATAACTCCAAGATTCCAAAACTGAGCAATGACGGTAATCAGCCCCATTTCTTTGAAATAAACGGCACGCCACATTTTGTTTTTCACTTGAAAAATGCCATTGCCAGTCGCCCACTGACCTTGCCAGCAATGCTGTTGGCAGCGTACCATTCAGATTTTCTTTAGCTTGTGATAGAACATCCACTGTAATACACTACAAGCTACACTTCAGAGGTTCTAGCACAGGATCTTAGAATACTGGCACCAGGCTGCTTCCTGTTGGGGTCAAACTTTTCAGATTAATCTGTCGCTGCGGACCCAAGTTTGCCCTACGCTTTCTGAGCACTGCCGTGCCTGGGGTCTGCTGAGCGAGGCAGAACACAGGACCCAGACCCACATCTCGCTTTGTCTCAGGACTCTGACCAAGCAGTCGCGAGGTGACCCCCTGGGAGGGCAGCAGCGGGACCCTCCCTGGGTCCTCGGCACGGCCATCAGCCACCAGCAGGGAGCTGCCAGCCCGGCCCCAGGACTCAGTCTCCTCACCAGCAGTTGTGCCTGTTGCAGCCGTCGCTGGACTCTCATACCCTCGCTGAGCAACAGTCGTCTGGCTCCGCTGAATGATCCAAACCAAACAGGGAAGCAGTTCCCACTGTCCCAGACCCTGCTGGAGACAGAAGCAGGTTATAACCTGGCTGCTTTATGTCCCCGTCCTCATGCCACCACTGTCCCTTACAACCAGGAAAGCGTTTCCACATCGGCAATGAAAAAATCACTGACACCTGCTGGGCGTTTTTAATACAAATCTTTATTTGTGAAATACAGGAGAAGTTCAGAAAAACCCTGAAAAGGTGAAGTGCATGTATCTGCCCTCACTCATCCACATTTTTCTGCTGTTTTGGTTTTGCTCCAGCTGAGTATTCATTTGTATCCAGGCCAGACTAGGTTGGGTTGGTGTTCATTCCAACATCAGAATGAAAGTGCAACTTTATTGGGAAAGCAGCATAAAGTATAGAGCTGTTGTGTCAGTAGGAAGAAAAAAAACCCAAAGCATCTTTAGTGACATGTTCAGGCAGTTGCCTGTACTAAGATGAAAGAAACCGAAGAAATTCAGGATATATTTTCCCTTTAGATACAGGCAGGTTAGTGGGAAACCTGCATACGACTCCAACAACAATGGCTGGCTCCAAGTCAGCTAAACTGATGTCAGCAGCACAGTCTGACAACAAACAATGTGCATTTTAGTCTGCATGGAATATAAAAAACCCCGCAGAATCCTCAGTACACCACACACATGCACCGACGTCAACGCATTTTCAGGTTTCTAGCAAACGTATGTCTGTGGGGGGGAAAAAAAGAAAGAAACATATTAAGGGGAAGAATGCTAATATTGTATCCACCTGTAAGAACTAAAATTAACCTGACCGCATTTAGACAACCATGGCATCGCCCTTCTATACTGCAGTTACAGCATGGAAGACGGGAGTGAGAAGACAGTAACAGCTCTGAAAGAACCCCAACAGTCAACTATGTCAATTAAAAACATCAAACCCATATTAGCCATAATGTGCGTGTGATATAAATCATATCTAGTTCATGCCTTAAGCCACTGCAATTCCAACACTACCACTACGATTCTGATTTTAACAACATGCTCAAACTATTTAACAAGACTCTAAAGAAATTTGGAGGAAAATCCCCTTCCTCACTCAAAAAAAACCCACCTTCAAAAAATCCTTCAGATTTGTCTGCAGGTTTTGTTGGCCATGTGCAATTTAATTCCTTCTTATCCCACTTTTGCCAAGCCAGGCCGGGATGCTGCAGGTTTCATTGCCTACAGCCTGTTCTCAGTAGTCCTGCAGCTGCTGTGAGCTAAGCACAAGGCTAAAGCAATACCGTCAGAACAAGCAGCCTGCCACGGAACTGCACCACGCTGCGCAACAATGGTTTAAGGCTACGGCAAAGACCACCTCCGCCAGGAGTGTCTGTTTCAGCTGCATCAGAGTGCCGATGACCACATGGGCCACGAAGGGAAAAGCCTTCTGGCTCCCGCGCAGACCGACTGCGCTGAGGAATCACCTGAAAGCATCTGGTCAAATACTACGTGAAAATGCTAAACCCAACAGGGCTATAAAAAAAAGTTGTACACTGAACTGCTGCTGCTGAGCAAGACTCCACATTAGCATCAGCAACACCAGTGCTTCGTGTTCACCTGAGACGTGTGGTTATAGCTACAAACGGCTTACCTCCTCGTGCCGGCAGCACAGCCCGCAGAGCCCCCCGAGAATGCCGTTGATGATCTGTATGAAGCACAGAATGAACTCTATTCCTCCCAAGACAAGCAGGATGGAAAAGAGGGTGACATTCCACTGCACGATGTTTTGAGGTTCCTGACATTCAGACCACCTGTTATACTCAAACAAGTACCTGTACGGAGCAATTAAAAGCATATTAACGTCGTGACAGAGCGGGATGCTTACCATACACTAGAACCAAATTACTTCTAGTCTGTAACTGCATCGAGGATAATCACTCTCGTGGGGACAGAAAAGGCAAGCGTTGATTTCATGCAAAGTTTGCTCTGTTTACAAACGTGTTAAACTATCAATCATACATTTCTGTTAAAAAATAAATCTAAGCTATAACAGCAGAATCTTCTGTTACTGATTAAAGACAGCCAAGAAAGCTGACAGAGCAGCACTACTGCACAAAACAGCCGCAGAGGTTTTCAGGACTGGGCTTTATCCTAAGGACAGCAATTACTGATCTGAAGCGAACTGCTTCCTCTCTTGTGCTACTGTGTCTGGGCCCTCGCGTGCCCACGCTGAACAAGTTCATTGGGGTGCTGCCATGCTCCAGCTGTTACTCCTCACCCACATTCTCAGAACATCAGCACGGTCTTAACCCAGCTCCTCTCTATTGGGTCTCGGCTGGGGCACGGGGAGGAGGTATGCCCCCTCAGGAGAGATGCGACTGAAGTGTAAGTTCAGGCTCTGCTGCCAGGGAGCTTTATGTGGCTTCTCGGCACTCAAACTGCCTCTAGTCTGGCATCAGCCATCAGCTGTTACCAAAACAGCCGTGAGGTTGCTGGCTGTATACAGACTGTAAGCATGTCGGGGTCCAAACCAAATCCTCTTCAGCCTACGGGATTCGTGGGATTAATGGGGAACAGCCCACAACTGGGCTACATAGGTTTGGTTTGCTAGAGAACCCTAATCAGGGATAATTAAAAGCTTCTGGCCCTCCCTGCCCTTTTTTTATTTCCTTTACAAAGGTTCTGTGCCATTGTCACTAATGAGGGTGCTACGCCAGCTCAGACTGACACAAAGCAGCTTCAGAAGCAAGACTCACAAAACAGGTTCTTACTCAAATGACAAGACAAATTTCGTAACAACCCCTATCCATGGCTTGTACATCCCTCAAAGTCCTCAAACTTTATACTTTATGTGAGAGATGTTCATGGGCATGAAGAGTATGTGGTATATAAATATTACTACCCAAATATATATGTTCAGATCCCTTTTGGTAGGACAGTGGATTTCTATTGCTTTGGTTTTAAACCACAGCAGCATGGGTAACTGATGCCATCTGTTCAGTTCTTAGTGAGCGGGAAAGATGAACTTATGAATGGATCTTGGTGTATGGTTACTGGATACCCATGAAAGGCACTGGAGTGAAGCCCACGTGCACAGGGGGGAGATACAACGCCCTCATGAACCCACAGCTTACCCTCCAGAGGACTCAGTGAACGGATAGATCCAGTTTCTTTCCAGGTGAGTGAAACAATACGGTCCGTGAGACAAGCCCAGTGCTGAGATGATGATACAGTACCCAGAGCCCAGGATCCCAACAACGGCTGCCAGGACTGAGGACAGCATCTGCACAGCAAACACAGACGTGAGCGTCCAACACCGCCGCTGCCTTGCCTTGGGGGGTATCTGGGGTGGGAGCGCAGAGGCTCACTTACCGCACAGCCCTTCCCGCAGTGCTCATGGCCAAAGCACCCGCAGCAGTCGTCGTTGTGGAGCCCAATGAACACCACGGCTGGAAGGAGCACCTGGGAACGGGGCAAACAAACCGCGCTGTGCCGCTGTGCCCCGCAGGCAGGGCAGGGAAAGCACAGCCCTCGCACCGCAGTCGTTCATGTCACTGCTCGGCGAGGGAGAGGGGCCAGCCTGTACAGACTGTTCAGTTTTACTCCTCTGTAACACAGGAGGCATCTCGCCACTGGTGTCAGCAGCCCCAGCACTAGGACGGGTCTCTTTCTCTTCCCGCTTTGTGTACACACAGCACTCAAGTGCGTAAAGAGTCTGTTGGCAGAGCCTGTCGTGGTATTGCTGCAATTTAAAGTGCTTCGACTTGAAAAGTTTTTGTTCACATTAAAGGCTGTATCCTGCAAACCAAATGCTTTGCAAAAAAATGCATTAACTTTCTGCCAAATGAGGACTATGAGATAAATGTCTCATAATTATTTGTTAAAAAACCAACTTCTACCAGCCTGTGTTACCGAAGAGCAGTCATCACTGCCTGTGCAACAAGCCCGTAAAGCAGGAATATTTTGCCCAATTCAGGCAAACATCTCACTACAGACATCTAGCTTTCTCTAGGCTTTCATAACCAGTTTCCAGTGACAGAAATGCAGAGTAACAAAGCAGAAGTTATCTGTAAGAAACAGAAATAATCCATACTCCAACGCTTTTAGCATAAAAACAAAGGAGCAGAGCTGATGAAACAGAGTTCCCCCCTATGAGCACAAACGGGACTTCATAAGGGTTGGCACCCATGGACTCCACACCCAGGAGTACCTTGGAAAACCATAACAAAAGAGCAGTGTTACCCACAACTGCACAGATTTACTGAACAAGACACTAAAATAAAACCTCTCCAGCTGAACAGCCACACACTTGTCAGCTCTGACTCCAACCCGCTGCTGAGCCCAGCGCTGCCGGTCGAGAGGAGGTTGTACAGGCGTGTTCCAGGAGCAGGTCCCTTGATTTCACCAGCATGATTCCGTGTGTGAAGCCAGCCTTTGCAAAGCCCAGCCTGGGTTCCCTGGGGCTGTGACACAGCTGTAAGCGCCTCTCGCGAGAGGCAGGGCTTTACCATGATCCGCAGACTCCTCGGGACCTGTAGCCTGGTTTTAAGATGACTTTTAAAAGCAAATGAAACAGGAAGCCTGCAGTCTTAAACACGCTACAATGTGGTCCACCAGACTGAAAAGGTAGAAGATAATAGCTTCGGATTAACAGTGTCCTGTTATCAACACACTGAGTGCTTCATCCTTTGTTGTCCCCAGAAGGCACAGCTGTGATGACTGCCTCTCCGTTCCGCTGAGCACGGAGTGAAGACAGAGAACAACGGTCAGCATCTCAGACAACAGAAATTAAGGACCTGTAACTAAATGCTAGTTATCTAGGGACATTTAAAAGGAGGATAGTTCAGTAATGTAACAAAAATGTAAGATTTAACCCTTTAGGCCAACTGTGACCTGCTGAGAGGCTCGGTTCCAGTTTTGCATTTGGATTCTGTGACCTGGACCCTACGATTTTCTCAGCTCTGAAGTAACCTAATGCTGCAGATAAGATAACCAATAGTAACCAATAATATGTATGGGATAATATAGCTAACTTCCTTTGATAGAACTCCAGAGATTCCTGAAAAAAAAATAAATTAATGTAACTGGTAAGAAACAGTAATACCAAGTACCTCCAAAATAAACTTGAAAGAAATCACCAGCCCATTACTTACCAAAAGGCCTCCACCTAGAATGCCATGAAGGCACTCCACGTATTTGCCGAGATGGTGCTCTGAAGCGTATCTTGTTTCGCCATTGGGAAAATAAAGTAAAATGTTGGCCACGATGCTGAGCAAGGCAAGGATGAGCAGCTTATAGCCAATACATCTAGCACGCCTTTCAAAACACATGTCCTCAGCTTTGCAGATCCTTCTTTCACTAGAACGATCCAACCTGTCTCATACCTGTCCACACCTAAAAGAAGATCAGCCTTTATCCTCACCTCCTTAAATACCCAGGGTCACCTAGCTACCTGGATGATGTTTACGCCTCCGCATAACTACCGCTCCCAATTGCAGAGTGAGGGCACGGGGACGGCAGAACGCCACCACCCTTTTCAGACGCAATAATTGTTGACAAACCAAATGCAATCAAGGAAATATTGAATACTAGGTAATTTCACTCTAATATATGGTGCTTGGAATGATCACCAGTGAACATAATTAGACATGAACAACAGGCTTAAACCACAACACAAGCTCAGTTAGGAACTGAAGGAAAAAGGTTTTGTTTTCTTTGTTAGAAGCGGCTTTGAATTTTACGTTTACAGACTGATTCAGAACAACCTGAAGCCAAGGAAAGGCTCATCTGACTTAAACAGTATTGAGTCAGAGTTTTGGGAAAAAATAGAATAAGGTCTGCGGAAATGAGGAGTATGTAGAGCAACCTCTCGCTCTGCTATCCTGTTGATGAACAAACCTCCTCAGGAGGCTGGAAAACAGAACAGACAGGTAGGCTTCTAAGGAGCGTCCTTGTCCTTGCCATTGTAAGACAAGCTGAATTTGACAAACAACCATGTGTTAAATCTAAACCAAGCAAACACTGGTGAAAAATACTGCTTCAGAAAGAGGACTATAAAATACAGTCCTTGCGCTGAAATTTCTTGTATAGAAACAAAAAAGAAAAACCTCAGACAGAGAAAGGGATTATTTCAAGGGTTTCGAAAGGGTGTTTCATGTACCAGTAACATTGATTTGCATAGTACATGGAGATACAAGGTGACCTGGAAAAATTAAGATCTAGCCTTGTCTCCCCTCCCTCATGCCAATTTTGCTAAAACAAGCAAAAGCTTTCTTCTTCACGCGCACACAGCTGAACACAGAAGCATGAGCTGCCATGCCCCACGATTGCGTGACAGATGACAACTAAGAAACGCACGGGCCCCAAATAGAATGGGGAGGTGCTGCTGCTGTCATCACAACACAACGTCATAGTCGTTGCAAAACCAGCAGCTGGACACACTGAGTTTGGGAATGCTCAGGACAGTAGAGGACTACAGTGAGACTTCTTCAATTATTCAGGGGGAAGAATACTCATCCAGGTTTTTTGGGGACAGGGGAGTGTGATGTTGTATTTTTTTTTTAACAGCTAAATAACACTGCAAACAGAAGCCCAAATCAATCCATGGTGTTCTTGCAGGTGATGTGAGCAACACTTAAGCTGAGAGAGAAAGAGAGAGAGCGCAAAAAGAAAAGGGCGGGGGGAAGAGCAGTCTTGTGCAGCTGCGGTTTGGTGATGTAACTTCTCCGGGTATTGTAGCTCTTGACCTTGGAGACTTCCTTCAGTATGAGAAATATCCTCCAATTGTAGAAACACAGGCACTTCACCTCTGATGACTATAACAAGCACTAACATCATCCTGCAGGTTTCCTCTGCAGAAGGTGATGGCTGGTCAACTGAAAACTCCCTTTATTGTGTCATGCTAAAAATCCCAAACCACTCCCCACCAGAACGCACCACCCAGCACCCTCCTCCCCACCACCCACCACACCACGCACATGGCCACTGGGAAGCAGATTTAAGATCTGTTCTATTTATAACCTGTACAACTGTTTCCTAAACACTTCATCTGAAATAAAACCATCCCGGGCATGTCGAGTCTTAAATGATGACACAGACACACACAAGAGCCTGACACGAGCTCCTCATCAACCCAAGGAACAGCAGGGCCCAAGCTGCAGCTTGTGACGGGCTCCAGCACCACGAGATGGCAGAGTCTGCGCTTAACAAAACCAGAATTGGGTTTTGAGTCTTTTGTACAAGAACCACAGTGTCTGCACTCAAAGAGGTACGACCATTGCCTACTCACTCCTGGTGCTTCCCCGTGGCGCACGGGAAACACCTCTTTGTCTCTCTCACAGGACTATTCCTGTAGCTCTGATGCCTGTCCTGGACAAAGAACACATGCTAAAAGACAATAAAAGTCTAATTCTAGGGTAACACCTAACTTTGGGCTGCAGGTCTAGTCCCGAGCTCTGGCTGAGAAGCCCCCACTGCAGCATGGTGGATGGAGGACAGGACACTCAGCAGGGCTCTGGAGCCATTCTGACCACACACACCAAGGTCCAGCAGCAGGACCATTGTGAGACTTCCACATCCCCTCCTGGCAGAGGGGGCTGGTTCATAAACAATTACAGCAACTGGCTTGTGTCCCCCAACCACCAGTGCTGCAGGATGAGGGCTGTCAGCAGAGCAGCGCTGCGTGGGCAGGACACTGACCCCTCCTGCCAGGGAAGTGGCTAAAATCAGGTGCCTTGTCCAGGTCCTGAGGCATCTGACACCAAACCTGATTGAACAGGGGGTTGAAGGATCGGGTAGCCCCTCTCTAAAACAAACTCCCCACCTCAATAGTCACTGTTGCTTTGGCTCTTCAGCAGTAGATCTCAAATGGCAGAAGCTCTGAAAAGCTGAGCGTCCTCCAGCTTCCCGTACCTGCTCCTCAGCCAGCAACTGGAGGAACAGAAATCCCTTTCTCCAGCTCAGCAGTGAGTTGGAAACCCTTGCTATGCTTTTGGAGAAGTCCTAAGTTGATCCACTGTACAGAGGAGTGGTTTATCAAAGACTGTCAAAGCTACCACAACCTGCAAAGCTCCCACATTCTGGCAGAGAGGGGAAAAAACCCAAAACAACCCCAAAACCCCAAACCACAGAATTGTATCAAGAAAAATAAAACAGTGAAGTATGACATTTCTCCTACAAAAGCAAATTACTTTGATCACAACCACATCTCGCACCTCCGCCCTAAGCCAGATTCCCAGAGTGATTCGTCATCAACAGAAGAACCTGAGTTGCAGCAGCAAAGTGCCATACAGAAAAGGGGATCTCTGGACTCCATTAATGTATCTAAACGCCCATAGTAATCCTGGAAATACCCACAACCCTCTTACTAAAGAGGAAACCAAGGAGGCTGGTGGGGAAGAACACCTGCAAAATAAACACAGAGTGGTCTGACAGACCCAGAGCCCCCCTCCTGTCCAGGGCCATGCGGGCGGGGGGCAGCTTCCCTGGCTGGAAGCGGGGCATGCCCAGTATCTGCACTTGTTGTGCATGTACGCTGTCAGGCTCCTGTGCCCAGAGGATGCCACAGAACCCTCTGTCCATAGCTCTCTGGCACATGGTGAGGACAGTCTGGCTGCTAGTCCCTTCATGGAAATGAAATTTTTGCAGCTTAATCTTGCTAATCCTCCCTAAACTGAATGTTGCTTTTATTTTCTTTTTTCTTTTTTTTTTTTTTTTTTACTATTTTAGTACCTAAAGAGGTTCTCACTCCTTATAAAGAGACAAAGAATAAAACATTTGAAATAAACATTTCTGCCATCAGTATTTTCTGAGCAGAAAGACGTAAAGAAAGATGCTGTTCTACCAAAAAAACCCAACATGTTTCCCCCCACCAGTTTCTTGTAACGCTCCAAAAGGTAAGTCCTACTGCTCCACGCTGCCTTATAGCCACCCGCAGACATGGTTTGCTGAAAGACACAATAATGACCAAGAGACGCAGCTGAAACAGGCGCATGACAAATGCTTTCCAATTACCTTGAAAACAATCCAAAGAAAAAACCAGAAAGCCTTGAAGCAAATAATTTTTTACATTATAAAAATTGGTCAGCTGTGAATCAAGGTGGCTTTACTAATACCGCTGCCATTTGCACACCCTGTGCTACAACTGCCAACAGACAGTGTCTCATTATAACTTTTCTTGCAAAACTTCTGGTCCCACCCGCTGTTGGCGAGGGGTGAGTGGAGGGAAGCACCCTGCGGAGGCACTGCCGGGGTGTGGGGGCCGCACAGCATCTGCAGGTGAGACCCGGCCGGGGAAATCACAGCGTGGGCGACACAACACGTGTGCACCGACACAGGCTGAGGGCCCGCGCTCATATTCCCCTATAAGCTATCCTCGTTTGTTGTTCTCTCCCTGCTCAGAAGGTTGCTGCTCAGAGAGGCCAGTTCCAGCTCAGACGCTGCTGGAGTGCTGGCCATCGTGCATCACCTGTGAGCTAAACGAAGGGAAGCCTCTTGGCCAGCTGCTCAGACAGAGCTCCCAGCGACCTCAGGAACACCCACACCCCTTAGTCACACGGAGGAACACCCATCCACGCTACCATCCATTTCTCAATGTCCCGGCGGTGCATTGCTCGTGTTTTCCAGCCATCGTCACACGAACACTGCGCTGTAGCTGCAATTGTCCTCGGGCCAGCCATGGCACAAGCATGGACAATTGGCAGGCTCCACCTGGATGGCTCCCCTGGGCTCCTTGGTGTCTGTGGTCTCCGAGCCACAGGCAGAAGAAAGTTTCCAGACTAGTTACACGGCAGCTCCTTGGATGGAATAACGAGCTGTTCCCGGGAGGAGTGAGCCCCTGCTGCCGTGAGACAGATCACCGAAGGAGAAGCAATCCCTCCTTGCACAGCTATAGCACGTGTGCGCTTGCTACCTCTGCCATCACTTTGGGACAGAAAAAAGATCTGAACCGTAGAAGCAGCCTGTGCTCACACCTATATGAACAACACACATTGACACAGATTTAATTTATTAGTAATAGTGCTGACCTAAGGAGGAGTCAGCAATAATGCAACAAAAGTAGTTTTAACGCTTAACCCAGCAGCTTGGAGATTCAAAAGCTTACAATGAGGGCAGAGCTACCCCTAAATGAGTGTACAGAAATTCCTCTCTCTGAAGAAGAGTCCATAAACCTTATTTAAGAACAACTATTACTGACACTAGACATGCAAGGGTGCTGTAGCGTCGTTCCACAATCAAATAAACCACTTCAAAAAACTGTTTTCTGGTGACATACAAAATCCATGATGTAGCCTGTATTCATTACTTCTTGCAACAATGTCATTATGACAAAAGTAGGACGGACATAAGACAAACAAATTCTATTTCTATTTCTGCCGCAGCCTGTGAGTG